CCGTGTTATTATCCAAAACAGGAGGCCTATACTTCCAAAACCTGCAGCTGGTGTGGGAAGCGTTCAAAAAATAGGAGGGTCCGAGACGTACAAGTGTCAAAATTGTGGAACTGTAATGGATCGAGATGAAAATGGTCTTTCTCCGGGCATTGCTTGATGGAGCCTTGATTCTCTCCGGAGATCATGCTAGTAGTAATGCCTGCTATTGATATGTTACAATCCATCCGAACAAAGTAAACAGTCTTTGTTAATATAAATAATCGATTGCACAGATTTCATTGTAATCCGCGTTTTTGTAACCTCTTCTGGATATGGTTAGATCTAATTACAAAACATGTTTATTTCTATTATATAAATCCATGTTACGTAATAATTATAACCGTGCGTCAGCTATACCATCGCTAGCTGTGTCTAATGAAGTTTTGTGTTCAAATAATATAGAAAAGGGTCACAAACAAAGCATAATACATCGGATTAATATCTCAAATATTAAACAGACTCTATTACTTACACAGGTTATGTACTCATGTTGGCGAACGGATTAACTATATACAAGAAATTTCTATCCGTACGTCACAGATAAAAGTGTCATTTTTCTAAAAATGGAAAGTGGGTGGTTTGACAAGCATGTCATGGACCCACTTTGGCTGTTTGTGAACATGGAATGGGCAATCTAAAAGACTACAAGAGTTGGCCGCCCAGCCCATATAAGTGCGCGTGCGTATGTTGAAAACCATCGGACTTGGACTACATTATTAAAGAAATCATATGTTATGACAGGCACAGAGACTGCGTTGAATGATCAAAACAATTACCTGTCGGGTATTGTGTCTCTTTTCTGAATCGGCCGTTCTCCTGTCGTTTTGTCTTTGTCATCCAAATTTCCAAGGCGTACATTACTATCAGTAGGATAAATGCCAATAATGTTTCTGTCGTCACGAATATTTTCGGCTTCTTCTGTAATGGCTTTGTTCGCTAATTGCTGCTTTCTCGTGTATTCGGACGGTGATAGATCTATTGTCTCGTTATCCTGACCTATGTCATCAATTATATCTGGAGCATTATTAAAGCTCACCCTATTAACAATATCGAATAGAGAGATTTGTTAACAAGTTCTTATGTGCATCTGTCTGTCAAGGTCTGTTGTTCGCACATTACAATGAGAACGGTATATTTGTCGCGTAATCATTGGCAACCTGTAAGGGATTAGCAAACACACACGCATTTCGTTTCTAGAGCGGTCCTGATGATACGACAACAATGTGCATATATTACTTTCAGCCGCAATTTATAGTGCATGATGATTTGTACCTTCTAGCTTGTCTTCTCATATTCGCGCCGGCGCCTGATAACGTTTTCCTTATTCCTCGCACTGAAGCTCTCAGACTGCAATATGTGATACGTATACCGATAAAAATAGTGCCATTATAACACCTCGATAAGTAACTATTACCAAATAACATTACATTACTGTTTGACAGACATTGTATCATCTATATACCGCTTATTCACTGATACATTTAAATTCTTACCTCTCTCGGTATTCTTCATCCACGTCCATTGGTGACAAACCATCGCTCGACACATCGTTCACGTCAAATTCGTCTACGTTTTTCACTGGAGTATGAAGTATATTTAACCTTACTACTGGTATAGGTGATTCTACAAGAGGCTCAGCCTCTCCCATCTCGACATCTGAATCCTCTTCATGGAGAACAGGCTGGTCAGACTGCTTTTCAACGTTAGGTGAACTCTCCGTATAGATTTCGATTTTTGGCGATCTTTGTCTAATTATCTCTAATAATTCTGTTCTTTGCGCTTGTAATTCAGCCCGCATTATCGATTCTGCATCACCATATTCGGACAGTTTTTGTAGATGGGGGACATTGAGAAAGAAGTCATGGGCTCGGTGTCGCGGTCCAGATCTTGGTATAGTTATAAATCTAGCTGCTGTTCTCATTATTCCGACGTCTCGTTTATCGGTCTATATAATATTAGAGTAGGAATTAGGTGTGACTTGCGTACCCAGTTAATTTGGCTGAGTACAATAAATTTGGATGATAAAGCAATTGAATCATTTTATTGTTACTTTGTTTAAATTTCGTTACATTTGAAGAGAATTAGATAGAAACACTAACTGCTTGTCGGATCAGATAATCTCTTAGAAACCGTTCTGCAACCGGATATTTGAAACACGGTTCTTTGTTTGTTGACTGAGTTTTACAGTTGTCTTGGGCGAATCTATTGAACATTAGTCAACAGACGCGTTATCAATACATTTTGTACGCATTCACAGGACTGTTCAGTTAGAGACTATCCCATTTGCATTACTACAGAATCTCAGAATTTTAACTTCAACAAATCTTTACTTCATGGCCTCCAACATACCTTTCAGCTCGCCTCGCTCGTTTCTTCAACTCTTCGTCGTCAATGTCGGTCGACCTTCCGACCAAACCGTCGTGGTTGGACCCATTCCACGCTTCTCTTCCACGTCCTCTTCCACGACCGCCTCCTCTTCCACGGGGTCGACCTCTCGGTGTTTGGTTTACTATACATCCTCGTTTACTTCCGCGAACCATGCCAAGGCTTATTGGTGAAGTATAAATGAAAAGACGCGTGTTACACTTTATCGATTATGGTTTGCCGATCATTAATTATTATAGTTAGTCTAAATATAATCGACTTTAGTTTTCATAACAATAATAATAACTTCAGCTTTTACTGTTCAGCTATAATACTAATACTAATACTAATACCCATGTTTATTATTATTATTATTATTATTATTATTATTATTATGAGTCTAATTAGCTTTCGTTATGGTAACATCACCTGATGATAATCAAGTAGTGTAACACAAACATTATATACAGTATAAGCCTCTTTTCAGAGTCGTCCCCTTTCTCTTCTAACGCCATTAAGCATTATTTGAAGAAACAAGTTTTTGTTTACCCACGGTCATAATGAAAATATAACACGTTTTGACAAATTACACTCGACGTTCAGAAGTTTGAATCCAAGGCGTTTATTTAGAATTCCATTAAACAAATTTTATATCGTTTGAAAACTCTACCTCCTGTTATAATAGTAGAAATTGTGTAATGTCATTCATTTTATTTAGCATGTCCGAGTTCGAATGTAAAACTTTTATGGCACTTATTTCAAGCGTTTAAAAGCTCTGATTCTCTCTTATATATTTTTTTTGAACCAAAGGGATACATTGCAGCACACGGCTAGGCGATTAGGTATCAATTGTCCACGATATTTTTGCTTCTTGAAGTAAGAAACGTATGCTTCCCGCAAAATCCTCCAGACGGGAACGCCGCATCTCTCTGTGGTGTCGTTGGCGATCTTTACACAGACTATGTGCTTTATCTGGTGCTTTCGTGTGCAACAGAAAACTAGCTAACGAGCTACTAGCCAAGTCGTCAAAGTAATCGCGTCATTATTCTCCATGGTAGTGAGTAGAACGACTGAATTACCACAGAGTGGAATACTTTAGGACGACGCGAAATGGAAATTAATGTAGTTCAAATCATGCGATATTATACGTTCTCCAACACATTCTTAGTTAAAATGAGCAGAGTATGGTGGGGGAAGAATGTTTTCATATTCAGCAGTTTGGGCATATGAAAAAGAAATCTCCGTACCTCGTGGAACACTAATGCTGATATGTACAATAATCCGTCAGTGGCACAAGTCAGATGAAAAACCGTTTCATGGAGTGGCATCTCGTGTAAAGGAAAAACTTCATTGTTTTGCTTTACTAACATCATGAATGGATCTTTTCACGTCCATATATTGCTCTGTCGCAATTGCTGCCTGCTGCCCGGTCCCCACGATCAAAGCAATCGGCGTTTGCAATAGGGCAACGACCCTAGGCACACAACCTGCGTTGCTAAGGATTTCATTGTCGAGAATGGGATTAACATCATAGTCTGGCCTTCGAATAGTCCAGATCTTAATCCCATGGCAAATTATCGAACACAATGATGCCGAATAATGTCGATGAATTAAAGCAGTTTTTAGTCGATTTAGGAGGCAATTCCTGAACAAGTGATTTAATCAAGTCAATGAAAACGCGATGTCAGATGGTTCTTGGGGGGAAAAAAATCGGGGATAGGATTCCATACAGAAAATTTTATATGTAGTAAAGGATTTGATAAGCATTTGATTATCTCTTGTGGTTGTTGTTGAGAAATTTAATTTTGGTATGTCGATGTGACGGGCCATCCATGAGGAACATTTTATATTTAGGAAACCGCTTTTCATTCCGCAACGTCGTCAAAGAATGATACGGTATTCTGAAAAAAATTTTGGATACCGTACAATATATGTTTTTATGAAAGAGTGCTATTTTTACAGTTACTCCACACAACATGCCATTCCATGTTAAGCTGTTGAAAGTTCTTGCTGAAATTGTTTTGCCTGCTATCATCTTTAGAGAGCAACAAACCGGTGACGTCACATGTTCATGTTGCACGCCCGCGGTCAAAGTTTCCCCCATTGCCGACAAATCATAAATAATATTTTTATTTGACAGATTTAATTCTATTGATTCGAGGAATGTTCAAGAGAAGTGCTTCGTCCTCGGTAGGACGCAATAAGCAGGACCAGAGTCCTGAAAACCAAAAGAATATTATAGTTGAGTTCAGGAAACTATTAGGTCCAGAATACGATCAGTATGACGACGCTGTAAGTTCAGCCGAGTATTATACATACGGTCTAACCTCGATATAAATATCGAAAATTTTCAATATAGCAAAAGTTCTTAATAAAACTGTTTTTGTATCAGAGAAATTCTTCACTATAGTGGCCTATTCACTGTATCTATATCGAGGTTAGACTACTTTTTTTGATGGCTCCATTAACCAGACTTTATTTTTTGTATAGACATTATTAAGATTTGCCACTGCCAGAAGCTTTCAGCTGGTAAGCGGAATTCTGATGTATTCTTGGTCTTCACAGAAATCATTCAAGTGTTATTAATCCTCGCTAGGACAAGGCCAAGCAACAGCTAGACGATACGGCAGCCTGGCGTGCTAAGGAAAATGTCGACTCGCGCTCACTGCCCATAATAAATCCAGGCACTCCAGTACTTTATCCCGTTCGTGGCTTCGCACCTTATTTACCGGATTCTAACGTGGGAGCAGTAGATGAAATTCCTGCATATTTGCCAAAAATATACAGATACTTTGGGGGAAATTGTTTACATAAAACTGATAAAGAGGGTAGAGCTATATATATCGAACGTGCTGTGAGTAATTGGGAACATTTTCAGCGGGCAACGCTCATTCTACAGGTAGTATGATGTCTAAAACTGTCTACTTTTAAAGGGGTACCACGATGCGAAACATATAGCCAAAAACGTCAAATTGGAGGAACTTCTTGATTGGCATATTTCTTGTCAAGAATTCTCTCACCGAGTTATCATGCCCGAACTCAGCAGGCGAGCAGGAAAAGTGATTGACAAAGAGACTGTGATATTAGATTGCGAAGGAATGGGAATGCACCGTGAGTAGTTTCCACCAATCCTTGAAACATAATTTTAAACAAGCGAATGCTTAACCAAACGTCTATGGATCAATAATGTGTGTCATTTGTCATTCCATACGAAAAGAGATACATATGCCAGCACTGTCAATGTATAGAGCAATTAGTGACCTGGACCAGAAATACTACCCGGAGCGACTGGGCAAACTTTTCATCGTGAATACACCCCGGATGTTTGTAATGATATGGAACCTAGCTAAAAGTTGGTTAGATCCTGGTTTATTAAAGAAAATAAGCATCTGCGGGAAAGACTTTCAGGTACTGATAAATTTAGTCGTACTCTCTCTTATGAAGTATGACTGATTTCTTAAGAAATTAGTGTCTGATCAAAGGTGACTTCTTATACACTTTGTTTTTATATTATAAAGTCAACATTACTTGAACACATAGACGCCGAAAATCTTCCCTCATTCTTGGGCGGAAATTGCACTTGCTCACAAATGCCTGGTAAGCTTTTATATGCTGTTCCCGTTAATCATATATACTGTGCCTTCATCCACATTCTTTTTTAGGCGGATGCGTACCGTCGGTTGTCAAAAAAAATATACCGCCGATTTCACGTTCTTCCGTAACACCAACGCCATCCAGACCTAGCACACCATCCTCAGAATTCCCAGTGCGCGTACGATTGCGTGGTGGCTGTAGGGAAACACGTGAAGTACTATTCATGAAGGACGATGACAAAGGAGATACTCAGGAAAAGCTTGAAATCAAATTTAGAATCATTGGTGGTGCAAAAGGTGTAAACTTTGATGTTAGATTTATCAAGCTGGACGAAAATCCAAATAAGGAAGAAAATATGTTTGTATCTTCGTCTATTATTCCGCACATATTTATTGCGCCGGATTCGTAATTGATCGATCTCTTTCCGCAGAGTATTGGTATCGACATCCATGCCCAATACGGAAGAAATACAGTATTACAAATTCGAGGCCCAAGACTCTGGAGAATTCGTACTTGGTTGGTCCCTAGATGAGTCGAAATCTTCTCAGCCAGTGGATATTGAATGCTCCTTACTGATAAATGGAGAAATATATGAGGATTAGACAGAATGGCGGTAACCAGGATGACTAATGGTCTGTATTCTCATTTCTTCGATCGGTTAGATATTAGGGCAAAGTCGGAGAAAGGTACGTTTAGAGAAGTACTCATTAGTTATTGCCAACAGAAACTTACTAGAAATTAGATATTAGGCTTACCGGAAATTTGTGAAAGGTTCTATGATTTATAATTCGATATATGTCAATAATTTATTAACCAAGACAGTGAGATGCTGTTTAGAATTTGCGCACAATATCGTTTAATATCAAATCATGAACAGTGAAAGAGAGAGCTAATAAAAATCACGTCACAGAAATCCTTTGTTTCCTAAGACGAAAAAAAAAAACAAAGTTCTGGAACAAATCATTTTTGTGGTTGTCCTTGCTTGGAGCGCGAAGAGAGGAAAAGTAATTTAATGTCGACTATGGCTTCGGCTTCGGCTGCGACTCCTAGTTCTGCTTCGAGCTGGACTTCGGCTTCTCGACCTGCTTGCTGTATAACTCCGACTACGACTTCTAGAATATGGTGTTCTAGATCTACTTCTGGAACTGTACGAACTATAAGAATACGAACGTCTTCTGTGTACAGGCGATCGAGATCGAGATCGAGAATATCGTCGCAACGGCGACCTGCCTCGTGCTCTATAACTGCTTCCAGTGAACCGTCTAGGAGATATGTAACGTCCGCCTATGTATGGGATAATAACATTAATGGCTTATCAGAATTTACTTAACATCATGGCCGATACAAATTACTCTACCTCTGCCTCTGCGACGTATTGATGGTGGTGGCGGTGATGGTCGTCGTGGAACAAATGCGCATGAAAGAACCGCCCCATCCAATTGACCCTTCAAAGAAATCATTGATCAATCCGAGTGACACACACAGTTTGTAACGCGAAGGTTAAGTTAAAAGAATAAACATCAAAGTTTACCCCATCCATGTAACTAATAGCCTTTTCCGCCTCACTTCTAGTCTCATATTCTATGTATGCAACGCCTCTATTCACCGACCCTGCTTATAGAAATAAATAGGCTCAATCTACCAGTCATGCTATAATAAAACATGGTAATTATTGTTGCTTAATACAAACACTTTTTGTTTGTTGGCATATCGATGCCATTAATATGTCCATAAGCACCAAAAATCTCATTCAAATGAGCTACTGTCGCATTCTTAGTCAGTTTTTCTACCAGTATCTTAGTCGGCAGTGGCGACATGGACCGCTTCCTACGAGCGGGATAAGACGAACGTGAGCGAGAACGACTTCGTGAATAAGACGGACTACGAGAATAGGAACGGCTCCTTGAAGAATAAGAAGAATAAGAGCGACTTCTAGAACGGGATCGTGACATTGAGCGTACGGATCGGCTACGTGAGCGGCTTCGAGCGTGACTACGCGAACGAGATCTACTTTCTACACGCGAGTTCGATTTAACCCTGAGAATTACATAATTTAGTTGTAGGGAGAAGGATATTATAATTCTGAAATATCGTATACAGACTTACATGTTATTCCAACTCGAAGGCTGACTAACGAAAGACTGCAGATTTCGTGATAGTAATAAAATCTCCCACGAGATTTTTGATATGATTGGCTGTATACACGAATTAGTATACTAATATCCACATACCAATACGGGATACCTTTCTTCTTTCAATAATAACATGCACATCTACTGGTAACTCCAGTTCACTTTATTCCCATTTTGTACGGTAAAAAAATTGAATACTCTCACATCGTTTATTTCATACTTGGGTATAGGTTTTTCCTGACTGGATGTGCAGTCGTAATATTAGCGGTGTTATTCTTCCTCTTTTATTCTAATCGTGTGCTTGGCCGTTTATTATCACGCTTTATTCGAGCAATTACCTGGCGGAAATATCGTGCCTATATTGAAATTGGTACGATTTTTATCACATTTGTTGCTATGACAAAATTGTAGCTCGCATTTTTGTAATGTATTCAAATGTTAATAAAGATCATATGCTTAATTGAATATGAACACTTGTTATATTGTGTTATCAGAATCAATACAGTTTGCGCCCCTTGCTGGTCGTATTCTATTCAAAAATTTGAAGTATTTGTCAAGAAACCAATCAATTATAGTTTTAAAAGGATCTGTGACATGGCGATATTGGTTATGGAGCGTGCGTGAAGATCGAAGCAACGTCAAAAACGACGACGGTGGCGATAACGGTATTTTGACTTACTATACTCTCAGCCTTTATATACCCACGATCTTTCTAACTGTTCCGTTACCAATTTGTTTCTTAAGACAAAGATTTACCTTGTAGAGTTATATGTAATTTGAACGGAGTGGAGTGGTTTGTATATAATAGAAAACCTGCTTATGATGCACTGAGCAAATTTCTTGATGAAAATAGTAACACCGTTTCAGATCAGCGAGACGACATCACAGGTAATCGGTCGTATAAACCTTTTTAATTTCTCTTTCCGTTCTAATAATTTTAGTTTGCTCTAGTGGACTTGGATGAAGACATTCCAGATGATTCGCAAATATCCTTCTTCCGAAGATTATTGCCTATTCAAATTGATTGTGAACGAGGTGCCATCATTGTCGGTAATCCTTACGTCCAACCAGTTCTTGTTACGGAATTCGCGCAAGCTAGCGGAATTTATGCTGCCTTAAAGGTCATTATTGGTCGTTGACTGACGACACCGTTTGACAAATTATGACGAGCCATTAATTAATGTTTTTATTTTAGACGCGATCACAATACGATCATTATAAAGCGGCTTTACGTGTTACATTCCGCAATCCTCGGATACATCTTAGGCCAAATGAGGACTATAAGGGATCTCCTTTGACCCAAGCTTCTAGAAGAACTACAGAATCTGCGAACGAGTAAATATAAACTTGTTGTACATCATTATGTCAAAGTTCTTGCTAAAATGTCGATCATACTATCATAGACAACCAGAACCCTCCGGCAGGTTTTCATCTTACTTCGATCGATTAAGCGCGTGTATGCCATTCTTTCAGAACACTTCTTCAATGAATACGGCAGAGTGGTATGGTCTTCCTAGATATCTTAATGATGACTTACCAGGTGTTTCTGGAGACGGAATAGCTGACGAATATGCGAAAGTGACCACAATACTCGAATGCGTATCCTTAGACCTCAATTACTATGTTGACGTTGCTGGTGAGTGATTTTTAACGTAAAAATTTCGTATTTGTAAATACTAACGCCTCTGAGGAATTGCTAGGCAAGGTTCCGCCGTCTCTTTCACTTCTTGATGAGTCGAACGGTATCGACGTTGGTAATGGCGACTTGGCTCCCGAATGGACAGTTGAACTTGAAGTTGAAGGTGGTGTTATTAATTACGGACCTTGGGCAGATCGTCAGCGGTTTGTATTATTTCGTTATATACACATTAGATCTGTATTATCTGGCAAATATATTTTTGCTCATTTAAAATTTTATCATCTATAAATTCAGAGTACAACTTCAAAATTTTTTCTTTCCACCACTTTATCGTAATTCTGAAAAGACAAAGATGCTTTCTCCTGGGGATGATAGACTGCATACTGCGCTGAAGATTTCTATCATATTTAAAACCGAAACTGTAATCCGTATTCCTACAAGAGAAGCATCCAAGGTAAAGCCGCCAACGGGAACCATACTATAGTCCATAATGTCTCACTCGCAGTTTGCATTTATAGGACTGGAATTTTGAAGAAAGTGCACTAGATGAACCTTCAACACCTGCTGCCAGATCTTACGGTTGGATGGACCTACGAGTTGGCTTAGAATCAAGTGTCAACGTTATTGTACCAATGGTAACAGATGATAATGGTTATTCTGTTCAGTTGGATATCCGCTTGGACAAACCAGAACTGCAAACGAGCATTAATTTTGCAAATTTATTGACCGCAGAACGTTGTACGGTAAAGTGTCCTTTTATGACAATAAGGCGTACGGTCACGATTTTAATCTTATTGTTCATCAATCATAGATAACTTGTGGGCTGCAAAACCCATTGGTTTGGAATGCGCCTCGTCAATGGGAATTTAGAATCGAATTCTGCAAGGCAGACACATTCTTGCTTCGCGACCATATAATACTTTTTCAAGATCTAGTAAAAGATTGGACATCCGGACCTCTTGTACAATTGCGATATTTTATACCAATTAATTACGATATTCGCCTGTATTTCAAACAAGGCTTTCAACTATTTCTCTATGTCAATGAGCGTAACATAATTGAAAATCCAAATCCGATGGACGCCGATGACAATAGTATGTTTTATGTATTATCTTGCGAAAAGTATGTTAATTATGATCGCCTTCTCATTTGTCTACTCCATTTTGTATAGCCTTTGTTATCAAGGGCAAGGAATTACATGCAAAGATCGACTTGCCGTTCGTTCAATACAAGCCAGAAGTAACCAAAATTCTTTTTGATGCCATGGTATAGACCGTTCCAGAGCTACTCTTCTGGTTTCGATTTCATACATCATTTACTTACCTAATACAATGTCTTTAGATTGTGGAGGGTAACATTATGATGTCGCCGCAGGCATCTCATTCACTAGGCTCATTCTTATCCGAGGATGGTAAGAAATTTGGTCAAGTCGATAATTTCACCATCAATGGAACATATCAGTATTATTCTTTTGTCGATCCGAGTCATGTGGAATCGGTTTCTTTGAACATGAAGGTTTGTAACGCCTTGCACTTCGCACGCTGTTATAGATCACGTATTTCACTAATAACAACTATGATATATTTCGACCTGCAGGGGAAAAAAGTTAATTTAAAACTCTTTGGTTTTGTTGTTCGATATTTTATAATCATCCTGGAGAATTACGCTGGAGATTATATTAATTTTGTGACGTTGGAAGAGTATGCCAGAGAAAGGTCATCTCCCGTATCCGATCGGCGAATGCCATCAAAGGTAAAGCGCTTTGAATTGAATATGCAACTATATTTTGTACTATTTTTTATGCGGATTCCTTCTTTCATAGCCTCCCGCAGATCTTTTTGAAGTCTATTTGGTCTTGGTGATTGAAGATGGTTCTTTGTCACTTCCGGAAAATTTGTATACAGCCGAGAATTGTTCGACTATTCAATTTCATGAATTGCAGCTCGAACTGAGAAATCTTGATCTCTACATGGGTAATATTTATGAATAATACATTTTTGTTCAGATACTCGATTAGTACCCGTATTGACCAATGTATGTTTTCAAATAGATATGGATATTACTGTTAGTCCTCTCACAATAGTATTGGATCAGGAAGATGTTGCAAGAAAGCATTCGAGATTGAGACTGCAGAATAATTATCTGTTTTTAGACGGTAAATCCATTATGATCGTAACACCTCGATAAGTGTAGACTCTTCCTAATACATACTCTCCTATCCAGACCTTAATATTTACGCCCATCGCTTGTATGGTCCGAGGCCAAAGACAGCTGCTTATGTTTGTAATTGGGATATCAATCTTGGCACAATTTCAGGGCAGTTGAGGCCGCCATTTTTGCTAAGCCTTTCTTCCTTTGCGAGGGCATTTGCCTATCACCTTGTCGATGAAGAAAGTGCTTTACCCATAGAGTTTGCTAATCCAGACGTCACGTTTTTGAACGTGAAAGTCAAGGACGTTGACGTATCTATTCGGTGTCGTGATAGGTATTAAGAAGACGTTGAGTGCTTTTAAACCATTGTACATCTAGAGCTAAAAGACGTTTTACTTGGATGATTTGTAGCTGTTCGCAAATTTTGTTAAGTGAGGGGATTTGCGTCCAATATGATAACCTAGCAAACGAGAAGTACTTGCAAAGGGTAGTATTAAAAATACCAGAACTATTCATAAAGAGCTTGGCAATGGTTGCAACCCCTGGATCACCAGTCGATGTTGGGTTTGACGTGGAGGACTACCCTTGGGTTGAAGTTGCCAACTTTGAGACCGCTTTTGACGTAACTTTATTCCGAACAGAATCTGGATGGCGACAGCGCTTTAATTCCCAACAAGCTTTCATAAAGGAACAAGATAACGAGACGTTACGCGCGCCATTTCTTTATGAAAAGTATAAAGGTCACCTAAGATCGACAAAAACCAATAATGATACCATCTACGCACCTCCGATGCCACCTCCTATATTGGACGATATGGACAGTGGTCCCCCACGTTATAGAAGTAATGATTTATCTTCTGACATACTGGCCGACCATAAAAACGTATTTCGGTTTGGTACAAGATATGGCCTTTTCGATGAAACGGATGACTTGGTTGAGAATATTGATAGCGAAGGTTTGAAAACTGATAATGATAGGTTTGTAATGTAATAGTCAGCGGAATTGGTTGTGTGCCGACAGCTTATGATT